TTCAGTTATTTAAGAGGGTTTTGCAGATATTTCTAGGGTTTTAGGGATGGAGTGTGCTTCATGTATCAAGTTTTTGAATCAGGGAAGTGATTTTGGATGTGGGTTTTTCATGTTTGGCCGTTTCTTGCCAGTTTTCAACTTGTTGGGGTTGTTTTTGGTGTTTATTTTGGGGCTAAAGGTTTTGCAAGTTGGGGTTCATTGGGAGATTTTTATGGAATTTTTATGTGATTTTAGAGGTAAATCAAGAGATTTCAGAAATCGGGTTTGTTCGAAGTGTGGTTCTGGTGATGATGTCTGTTCTCCAAAGGTGAAATCATTGGAAACTTCACCAAATGCAGATTGCTTGTTGTTAAGCAACAATGTCAAAACAGAAGAGAGAGATCATGTCAATATTAACGACGGTCATGGTGATAGCGATGGTGATGATGAAAGTGTTGGTTACGGCGAGGATGGGGAATTTGATGTGTTTGCATTGAGAAAAATGGTGAAGATTGAGCGGCGAAGGAGGAATGAGGCTCGCGTAGAGCTCGAGAAGGAAAGGATGGCTGCCGCATCTGCAGCTGAGGAAGCTATGGCCATGATCCTGCGTCTTCAAAACGAGAAAAGCTGTATTGAAATCCAAGCCAAGCAGTACCGTCAAATGGCGGAGCAGAAGCAGCAGTACGATGAAGTGATGTTCCAATCGATGCAGTGGATTATAATGAAACACGAATCGGAGAGGAGTCCACTGGAGGAGCAACTGAGGCTGTACAGGCAAAAGTTGCAGCAATGTCTTAAGGGTGATGAAACGGTGGCACAATCCCAAGAAGCTGATCCGAGTTCCAACCTAATCGAGAATTGCATGGATGATGGGTTTGACGTAGATCCGTGGGAGCCGGTGCGACCGCAATTATGAACCACATTGTGGTTCACAACATCAATAACCTGAAGTCCGCTTACATGTGGAAAATGCCGTAGACGGCCGAGATGATGTGCTTCATGCGAATCAGTGAATATATATAGATAAATATTGTTTATGACTTAGATCGTAAATGCGGTACAAATAATTCTGCTCCTTTCCGAAATGCATATCGAGTAATTTTATTTACAAAACATACTTTTCTTTGTCTTTCTGTTGAATCAAATAGGAGGCATTTGTGTATATGAACACAAATGTGACCTTCTCTTTTATCCATGTAATCTTGTAAATTAAGTAAATAAGGTGCTACATGCACTCTTTGTTTTTATATGATTATTTGGTAATTGGTGTTTAGATGATTTTGTTTAAAAACTCTAACGTTGTCATGTTCTGTTATTGACGTGCAATGAAAAAAGAAGAAGAGAATGTCGTGTGAATTTAATCATTCCTCTATGATTTAGCTTTGTAGGTTGAAAATGGTCCAAAAGTCTTGTGGATTAGTAGGGGACCACAGACAATGTCCTATATGTTACACATGTTTTATTAATTTATTTTTTGGTTTGAATATATATTAATTAGTGGATTGGTACGAAATGTCCTTCTGGTTAGAGAGGTTAATTGTCAATGTAAAACCAGTAAAAACAATTTCATGGGAAATTTTTCTCGAAAACACAGCTGATATATTCAGTGGTATAATACAATTTGTTGAACTTTTTTTCTTCTTCAAGTTTTCATTCAATTGTTTACTATACTTAATGTACCGGACTGTGTTTTCGACACACTCTACAATTCCACATAGAAACCTTCTATGTTACATATTCCCTCGAACACCTATGTCTATACTTTGAATTTCCAGTTACAATTGTGCCCTAGTTGAATAATGGACTTCCAGAGGAAGTGCTGGAAAAATGATTTTTCTTGTTTTCAGTTTGGGTTTAGTGTGTTTTGATTTTTTGTCTTTCCATGAAATAATTGAAAAGTAGTGAAATTCTAGGTAATGTAAGTTATGTTTTTGTCACTCTATGTGAGGCTCCATATTTTAAATAGCCTCAAAATTAAACCAACTTAACTCTTAAACCACCACGAGGTGGTCTAGTGGTTGAGAACGAATTATATATCCATATCCTACACGGCACGTCTTGGGTTCAATTCCTAATGCTAGTGAATTACACGGTGATGGCTAGAGGCTAAAATGTCTATGTGAGACTTTCCGTCCTCAGAAGGGTGGACTGTCGTGGCAAAACTACCAGCTAGTCACTTTTTTAAAAAGATAAAAAAAACCATAACTCCTAGAAATATTAACTCTTCCCTTGTCATAAAAACAGAGTTTACACGCTAGAGAAACCCTGTAAAATTACGTAACTTTGTCAAGGGGCACAAAAGGGACACAACACAATAAAAGAGAGAGAAAATGTTATGTGGAAGATATATACTGTAATCATTGTTGTAAATGGAGGTGTGAATACCCATTGTAATAAGCGATTAAGTATGACCATACCTTTACAACATTGTCAAAGAGAGTGGCTTAGTAGGTTTGTTAGACATTTTGTAATGGAGGTTGGTGATAGAGAAAGGACTATACTAAAATCTGGAATACAACCTTGAAAAAAGAACAATTAGAGAATACTCTCTGCTTACGTACACTTCAAAATTCAAAATCCCCTGCTGTCTCTAATGTTCTGAGTGCTTAGAAAGCCTAGCCAGCAACCATAATAACTACAAACACAAGTTCCTAGCCCACTACAGCATAGTCAATGACCATTACTAAATGACAACACAATTCCTAATTAAAACACCACTTGCAAGAAATCAAGTTATAGGAAGTATTAAATCGAATTTGAACCAGCCACCAAACTACATTAATGGCACTGCATCATCCTCCCCTGCCAAGTGAGAACTCGCCCACGAGTTTGAACCTAACTCTCCATGATATTCTGACAAATCTCGAACATTAAAAGTTGGGTGAGTGTTTATGGTCTGGTGGAAGCTCAACCCTATAAGCATTGTCATAGATTTTCTTCAAGATCTTGCATGGACCAATCCTCTTTTCTTTGAGCTTATTATAGTAGTCACCAGGAAAACGCTCTTTCTTCAAATATACTCACACTAGATCACCTTCATCAGATTTCTTCACACGGCGATGTTTATCGGTAGCTTCTTTGTACTTGATATTGCTGTCTTCAAGCTTTTTCCACACTTCTTCATGTATTCTGGCCATGGATACAGCAAAATGTTCAGCCTTTTTCGGTTTTGGTAATGAAAAGTTTGGAATGGGAGCAAGGTCAAGATAATGTGTTGGAGTCCTCCTATAAACAATCTCAAAGGGACTCTTTCCGGTAGAACGGTTTACAACGTAATTATAAAAAAAACTCAGCTTGAGAAAGAGTCATATCCCATTGCTTTGGTTTCTTGGCTGCCAATGCTCTGAGCAGATTGCCTAATGTTCTGTTAACCACTTCGGTCTGGCCATCAGTTTGAGGGTGATAAGCACTACTATACAACAAATTAGTGCCAAATCTACCCCACAAGTGTTTCCAAAAATGACTAAAGAACTTGGTATCCCTATCTGAAACAATAGATTTTGGAATAACGTGATGTTTAACCACTTCTTTGAAATATAGATCAGCAACATAGGAGGCATCCATAATCTTCTTACACGGAACAAAATGAGCCATCTTGGAGAAGCGATCAACAACAAAGATGGAGTCATTTCCCCTTTGAGTCCTTGGCAAACCAACCACAAAATCCTTGCCAATATGCTCCCATGGAGCATTGGGAGGTGGTAAGAGGGTGTAAACACCAGTATTCTGTGATTGGCCTTTGCATATATGTTTGACAAATTCTGCACCTTGTCACGTAGTGAGTCACATCCCTATAGATTGTAGGCCAATAATACTTATCTTTTACAAGACAGATTGTCTTGTCTCTCCCAAAATGCCCACCTAAACCTCTCGAATGCAGTTCCTTGATTATATATTCCCGAAATGAGCATTTAGGAATGCACATACATGCTTCCTTAAAAAGAAAACCATCTTGGACAAGGTAATCCTTATGATGTCCTTCCTAGCAAAACTCCCAAACCTTCCCAAAATCAGTATCACCAACATACATTTCTTTAATGTTATCAAAGCCTTTCAGCTGAACACGGAAGGTATTGAGAAGTGACACCCGTTTTCTAAGAGCATCCGCAACTTGGTTGTATCTCCCATTCTTGTGCCTTATTACAAAAGTATACTCTTGTAGAAATGCAACCCAATTGGCATCTATTCAAGTTTCCTTGGTTGTTTATGTGTTTGAGAGCCTCGTGATCATAATTCAAGATAAACTCTCTTTGAATAAGATAAGGCCGCCAATGACGAAGTAAATGAACAATGGAATAGAATTCCAGATCATAAATGGAACAATTCTTCTTTGCTTCATTTAATTTTTGGCTAGGGAAAGCTACTGGATGACCTTCTTTGCTGAGTACACCGCCTATTCCCACATGAGATGCATCATAATCAACTTCAAACACTTTCTCGAAGTCGGGCAAAGATAGTACAGGAGCGTTGGTCAATTTTTCTTTCACAAGCTGAAAACTCTTCGCAACTTCCTTACTCCACTTGAATTCCCCCTTCTTCATATAATCTATCAAAGGGGCCGAAATAGAGCTAAAATTTCTAATGAATTGATGATAAAATGAAGGTAGCCCATGAAAGCTCTTTACATCCTGCAAGCTGTTTGGTGTGGGCCAATCTTTGATAGCTCTGATTTTCTCTTCATCCATTTTCAGACTTGTAGAAGTTAGGACAAAGCCTAGGAAAACTAGGCTTTCGGTCATGAAAGAACATTTCTTGAGGTTTACATAAAGCTTCTCCTTTCTCAGAACAATTAACACAGCCTTCAAATGTTCCATATGGTTTCTTTCATCAACATTACAAATGAGTATATCGTCAAAGTAGACAACGACAAATTTACCAATGAAAGAGCACGGTGCTTGATTCATTTCCCTCATAAAGGTGCTCGGGGCATTAGAGAGCCCAAATGGCATAACAAGCCACTCGAAGAAGCCCTCACACAGTCTTGAAGACAGTCTTCCATCATCACTAGGTTTAATTTAGATTTAGTGGTACCCACTTCGAAGATCAATCTTGGAGATTACTTTGGCACTAACAAGCCTGTCGAACATATCATCAACCCTCGAAATAGGGAACCTATATTTGATAGTGATTCGATTGATAGCACGACTGTCCTGTACACATACTCAATGTGTTATCAGTCTTTGGAGTAAGCAAAACTGGTACCGTACACGAACTCATGCTTTCTCTGATATAACCTTTCTCAAGCAATTTTGAAACTTGTCTTTTCAGCTCCTTGTGCTCTTTAAGACTCATGCGGTAGTGATCTTTGTTTGGAAGGTTTGAACCAGAAATCAAATCTATTTGGTGCTGGATGTCTCTAAGTGGGGGAAGACCACTAGGCAACTCATCCGAGATAACATCTTTGAATTCGTCCAAGACAAGCTCTACTTTTCTAGAGACATTTGTGGATTTCCCTGCTTCCTTAGCAACCAACATATACATAATACCTATATCTTCACTTTCTTTTAAGAATTTGGACAAAGTAAGACAATGGTTACCTTTCTCTTGCTGGATTTTTGGAATAGCTGCTTCTTTCTTGCCAGGTAAGAGAACAATCTCACTTTTTCCCATTCGAAAGGTAAAGGTGTTTTTGTGACCATCATAGGTAGTGCGCCTATCAAATTTCCATGGTCTTCCTAGGAGTATGTGACAAATATCCATAGAAACTACATCACACCAAACTTGGTCCTTGTAATTCTTCCCCATTGAAAATGAAACAAGACATCTCCTGGAAACTTTTACCTCATTTCCTTTCTTGAACCACGCGATTTGATAAGTTCGTGGATGTGGTTCCGTCTGGAGCTTTAGTTTATCTATCATGTCTTGAGAAACAATATTTTCACAACTGCCACCATCAATTACAAGAGTACACACCTTGCCATGAGATTTGCAACATGTCTTGAAAATGCTTGATTGGAGCTAGTCTTCATTTGATTCTGACTTGGGAATGGAAACCACTTGATTAATCACCAAACTGGAGAGCACTTGATCAATCACCAACTGGAGAGCACTTGATCAATCACCAAACTCTGACCAATTTCAGGTTCAATTTCCTCACGTTCCACATCATTGTCCTCATCAAAATTAGGCTGAACAGAATCATTAAAGTATTTAGGCTTGTGGTCTTTATAGCCAAAACGCACTCGTGTATCAACTTGCCGCTTTGGGCAACTCTTGTATTGATGACCGGTTTGGCCACCCTTGAAACAAGAACTAGAGTTGTTGGTATTATTTCTTTGACTTCCCGCAGCTGCACCATGATTTGTAGTGAGTTGTTCCTCAGTTTCTTGGATATCATTACATGCTGACAACTTGTAAACTCTTCGGTATACTCCATGACACTCTTAGTTTCCTAACGAAGGTTGAATTGTGAAAAACTATATTGAGTGAAGTCTGGTGGGAGAAATTTCTCTTGCAATCTTGTTTTCATCTTTTCCCAAGAGGAACTCTTAGGCTTTCCTTTACATAGCCGCATCTCTTGGACTTTATCCCACCATGTAGACGTATAGCCACGAAGTCTTGTTGCAACCAACTTGACTTGTTGATGTTTAGGTATGTCCTTATAGTAAAAAAACTTCTCAATGACACTAAGCCACTTAAGAAACTCTTCAGGAATCAGCCGACCATGAAACTCTAGCAAATCAATTTTGATTGTGTCAAAGTCACGGGTGAATCTTTTAGCACGACCTCTTTCATGTCTGCCAAATGGATTTTGGTCAGATTCATCACTTGAATAACCTTGACTTGATCCTCCACGCTTGCTGTGAGCATGTTGGCGTTCAAGTTGCAAGGTTACAACTCTTGAATTTCATCGTCTCTCTCATCCCTGTGATTTTCTGGACCATGGTTACCTTTCATTCCTCTACCTCTCATTGCTGCCATTTAGAAACAAATGGGCATAAGCAAACCCAAAGAGCGTAATGAAGCTCTGGTACCAGATAATGGAGGTTGCTGATAGAGAAAGGACTTTACTGAAATCTGGAATACATCAAAATCCCCTGCAGTCTCTAATGTTCTGAGTACCTAGAAAGCCTAGCCAGCAACCGTAATAACTACAAACACAAGTTCCTAGCCCACTATAGCATAGTAAATGACCATTACTAAATGACAGCACAATTCCTAATTAAAACACCACTTGCAGGAAATTAAGTTACTATGAAGTATTAAATCGAATTTGAACCAGCCACCAAACTACATTAATGGCACCGCATCATTTTTCCTATAAAAGATTGAAGAATAAAAGAAAGAAGAGAAGTGAGAAACATACGGAGGAAAAGAAAGAAAAGAGAAAATGAAGAGAGAAAAGAAAGAAGAGCTAGAAAGAAAGGAAAGAAAGAAGATAGATGCAAAAGAAAATACCAGTGAACCAGGCTAGAGAGAAGAGAGAAAACAGTGAGAGTTATTTTGTACTTCTATTTTTTCAAATAATGAAGCTCCAAATGCGTGGACATATCTGCCGAACCTCATAAGTACTGTGTCTTATTTACTTTATTCCACTGCACACATGTTCTCAATTTCATAACAATCACTAGATTTACAATTTCATAACAATCACTAGATTTTACAATAATTTTTGGAATTTTAGATTTATTTCTAGTTTTTCCTTTTGTAAAATCTTGTACAGCACTCCATAGAGGCCCAGCAACCTCTTCTGCAATCCCTTTGAGGGCTCTGGCCTTCTCCCTCATATTTTTCCCTTGTTCACTTCCCAAAATCAGCTCCAAGCTCTTGAGCACTCCTGGCTTTGTGAGTATTCCACCCTCAATTTGAGATCGCTATTCAGGAGCGTGGGATTTATCTCTTGATAGGAATTCAAGACAAGCTGTCATTTGATGCAGCACTCGCCCCATTTGACTTGGTATTTGTGACAAAAGTGAATCACATGGAACTACTTTTTCAGATAAGTCCGCAATGTGCATTGTGGACAGTCTTGGAACAATTTCCAAAATATTATCTTTTTGCAAAGGATCATCGTTGTTACCATCACCATTAGCTATTTGGTTATCACTATCGAGGCCAGCATAATTTGGAAAGAGCTCGTGGCGGATAAGATCAGTGTTAATGTGAGCATGGGTATCCAAAGATGAATCCATGGAACACCATAATTCTGAGCCATCTCTCTAGCAAAGACCAAGAATGCATCTGTAATCAAACAAGTAACTATCTTACCTGTCTCCGCCACCGCCTTCTCTATTCCAATTTTGTAATTTGTAGGTGTGGCCTTGAGGAATAGCTCTAGTACTACCTCCATTGGATGCCCTTTCAAGAAATGATTTTTTGGCACACCATCTAACACATTGTAGTGTTTTATGTTGCTAGGAATGTTGGATTCTGATTTTTCTAAAAATAACAAGTTATTTGATCATTTTGAGTTGAGGAACACATATCTTGGGATGTGCTGTTAGCTAGCCTGTAAAGATGAAGATGCCACATCATGACTATAGTTTGTTATTAGTTTGTTACAATTTAATTAGTTAGAATGTAAATAGCCATAGGCTATGTATTAGTGGTTGTATCATTCATTGATGACTTAATGAGAATATACACTTTTCTTCTTCACTAAGAAAAGCTCTCTGGAAAACTTGGGTTTCTATATGGTATCCTTCACCCTTTGCCTCATGGCCGATTCGATCGTCTCTTGCGCTTTGCATCTTTGATTCTCGATCTATTTCTTGCATCAAATTGCAATGGCTTCTCCCTCTATTCTGCAGTGGCTTCTCCTTCTATTCTTTTTCCCCACATGAATCTCTTCAAAATTCATCCCCAAATCATTCGTCAAACCCTAATTTGTTGAATTCGTATGCTTCTCTCACAATTCAAAACATCGGAAGCATGGTTCCAATTAAGCTCAAATGGTCTAACTATCTCCCATAGTGTGCTCTATTTGCATTGATTCTCCAGCGGTACGAACTTCTCAACATTGTTAAAGGTATTGAATCATGCCCGTCGCCGTTTATTCCAAATCGCTCTATCAACCCTGCTTTCGAAATCTAGTACGAGAATGATCAAAATCTTCTAATTTGGCTGAATTCTACACTCTCAGAAGATATAATTTCGTTTATAGTTGGTGTCTCTTCTTCTTGAGATCCTTATATCAAGCTTGAGCAACGACTCAATGGTGTTTCTGATGCTTATGATTATCAGCTTCAATCTCGCCTTCAGTCAATTCAGAAAGGTTCTACATCTTGGCTTCTTGATTCTGGGGCTACCTCTCATATTACCAATGACATTGCCAACATTTCTTCACCAACACCCTACACTGGAGAGGACAAAATTTACATAGGTGATGGTAAAGGTTTGTTTATTCAACATGTTTGGTCTTCTTCATTGCACTATTCTAATGTTGCTTTTAAATTGAGCAATGTGCTTCATGTTCCTCAAATGAAACATAATTTGTTATTTTCATACCAATTTCTTAAAGAAAACTACTGTGCCTTGACTCTTGACTCTGATGGATCAATTCTAAAAGATCGTTATACAGGGATGACACTTTTGCAGGGTCCAGTTAAAGACGGTTTCTACCTTTTGCAAAGTTGTCACTCCACTAGTTCATTTCCTAGCTCCTCTCAAGCTTTTGAAAGTACTAAAGGTTCAATAAAGCTCTGGCATAGCCGGCTGGGACATCATTCCTCAACCCTATTTCGAAGAGTAGTAACTAGTAATAAGCTTGCCATTCATGGTACAACATTTGTTGATTTCTTTTGCACTAAGTGTGTTATAGCTAAGAATCACAAATTGCCTTTCGGACCATCAACTTCTCATAGTTTGGAACTCTTGCACTGTGACTTATGGGGTCCAGTTCATGTACCTTCAGTGAGTGGCTTTCGGTATTATTTCTCATTGTTGATGATTTTAGCAAATATAGTGGGTGTTTTCCTTTGAAGGCAAAATTAAATGTGCATTCTACTTTTGCATTGTTCAAAGCTTATGTTGAAAATATTGTTGGAAACAAAATCAAGACTTTACGTTCAGATTCAGGGGGTGAGTTTACTAGTTTGTGTTTCAAATCTTTTCTCAATTCTCATGGCATTGTTCATCAGTTAAGTTGTCCACACACACCACAATAGAATGGTTGTGTGGAGAGGAAACATAGGCATCTTATTGAGATAGCTAGAACTTTGTTGGTTGAATTAAGTGTTCCTCATCAATACTGGGTTGAAGCCTTTACCATTGCAATTTCCCTTATCATTAGGCTGCTTATATCTGGACAAACTAATTACCTTGGGAGTTATCGTTTCACAAATATCCCGACTATTCAAAGCTTAAGGTATTTGGTTGCAGCTGCTATCCATGATTAAAACCATATATTTCTTCTAAGCTTGATGGGAAAAACAGGAAATGTGTTTTCTTGGGCTATAGCTTACAACACAAAGGCTATAGGTGCTTGGATTTGGAAACAAATCGTGTCTATATCTCCAGGCATGTCATATTTGATGAAGTCACATTTCCATTTAAAATGTCAAACATATCTCATCATTTGTTGATCATTCCTCATCTCTTTCATCACATATTGACCTACAATTCACTTATCTCAATCCTTCTCCATCACAACCTTGTGCTCCACATCATGATCTGTCTTCAACTTCAAGTTTGTCATCATCTCAAGCTATGCAACCTGATTCTCCTATCCAACCCACTCAGTTTATATAACCTGTGCACTCTTTCCAAACTGCACAAAATGTTCACCCTATGGTTACTAGATCCAA